AGTGTTCATTACGAACGTTTCATTTAAACTTCGCATTACAGCCACTTAATTTTCTTTGTTAATTAAGTAGAACTAGGTAAATATACCTTTATCATACGTGAACAGCAATTTAATTTAAAAACTGACCTTTAATTTGAAGTCTGAGTTTTGGAATTAAATGAACGAACTATTTATTTTAGCTCTTGAGAGTTACCCCTTCTACTAAACTCAGAATGCAGTTTTTACTTTTTTAACTTTAGAGAAAGGAATCAATTTAATGGTAAATTTTTGATTTACTAATACTTTTACATTTTATCGTATAATTTACCCTCTCCAAGATCGTAAAATAAATTAAAGTAAAAAGACATTACAAATAATTCATTCTTACAGAAATCCAAAATTCTTTAAGCCCAAAATATTCTCAAACAATAAACGAATTAACAAATAACTTCTAATTAATTTCAACTGATGGATTCAAGTCTTTATAATGCACATCTAAAATTTTAGAGAAAGATCCAACAATTGAATTGGCATTGAACTTTTCATATTTTTCATTTACGTGTCCACCTGTACCGTCATTACACTATCAAACTACTTAAATTGCCACAAATTTTATTATTCATTATTCATCCAAAACGGATTCTCTATACACTTTCAACTAAAATTCATTCTATTGTAAAAATATTTTATATGCAACTACATAACAGAATACATAAAAATTCTAAATCGTTACAATATCCTTACATTCCAATCATTATTCTACTAAAATGTTAGAATACATTTGATGTCAAAGTTGAAAAAATTAAAACTGACAATGATTTTCTTTAATATTTTTACTTATTTTATTGTCCCTTGACTCATGCATGACTGTCACAGGACATATTATTGTGTATTATGTGAACACTTATAAAAGAAGAAAAAGAAAAAGAAAAATTTTTTGTGTAAAGCATATTATTTGTGTAGGTCGCAAGACAACTAAAATAGATAATAATAGAAAATTACATACAAAACTGATAATATTGAAAAGGCCAACACCGTCTGCAATAAAGTTAGACAATTTACAAACATTTCACACACACACACACGTACATACATCAATAAGCTTTTATTAGTCCGGATATACACAATTATTTCACATAAATAAAAATTGTTACGTTATTGAGAAGATACAGTAACAGTGTTATCCTTAAGAATTTTTTCTTTTTCATTTGCTTTCATAGAATTAAATTTTTTTTAGTATATTTCCAAGTATACTATTTTTATATTATCTACACATACTTATGTACATATAATATTTTCATATAAACAAACATTTCAATTTTTATATTTTACAATAACAGAGAATATTAAAAAATAAACAGAAAAAAAAACAAGCACAAATGATTTCGTCCTGGAGATCTCTATTTCTTCAAACAGTATAATTTTAAGTATTTTATTTAATTCATGTTATATATGTTATTAAACGGCATTCAATTAAGGAGTCGATAGTATCACCAAAGAGACACACAGTTGATATCCAGGACAACTAAATAGAAAGTAGAAAATTGCGAAAAAAAGAAATCGTTAAGAATCAAAGAATTATTGTGGGCAACCTAAAAATTTCTTCCCAGAAAATTGTAAAAAAAAGAAAAGCTGTGAATAATAAAAAAGTATAAGTAGAAAAACAGAAAAAAGAAAAAAAAGAGAAATTGAAAATCTAACAAAAAAAAATTGTATTCAAGGAAATCTGATTGACGATAAAAGCAAAATGAGCGTATGAGTAAAAACTTTTTTTTTTCCAGAAGAGGGGAATGTACACACCTGTAAGAAATTCATCTTCTTACCATGTAAAATACAGTAATGGAAGAAAAATCTATGGAATATTAATTTTTGAATTACTAGTTCTTAGATCGAATTTTTTTGTTTTACATAGTTCGAAATTTTATAAAAGAAATTTATATTAAAAGACTTGAATGTTCTGCTCTAATTATAAGCAGAACATTCAAGTCAGAACATTCTTATTCTGCTCTAGAATAAGAAGCACCAAATAATAAAAAGGGGTTTTTGAGTCTGAAAACTCCTCAAGTTTAGTTGAAATGATTATAAAAAATGTTAATATATAAGTTCAACTTGGGTACGAACTTGGAATTCATCAATATTAACTGAAGTCCTCACAACTGAAGTAAATCGCGCGTAGCAAGGTGGCTTTAAATATTTAATCAATTTAAGTAAAATTTTATATTTGACCCTTGTTTGTCAATGAAATTATTTAACAAAAAGATTTCCGGAAACCCTCATTTAAAAAAATGAGATTTCTAAAAGAACGAATTTTAAATTTTTGGACGTGTATTCGACGTGAAGTTTTCCTCTTTATTAATATGAAAAAATTAGCAAAAAATACCCTTAAAACTTTGTGCAATTCGCTTAATTTTTATTCTTTGGTATTTGTATTAAATATTTATCAGAGAATGAACATTCTGCTTGGAATGTTTATTTTCTGTAGACTAGTAGATTTAAAATTTTTAATGGACTTCTTACGTGCTGCTCTTATTTACATTAAATTTAAATATTATCAATTAATATTTACTTTAGTATTGAATTTCACACAATATTGCTTAAATTTTTTGTGATTCATTAGCGAATTCAACCAAGTACACACAAAATATTCAGAATTTTTGCACTAAAAGGACTTGCTATTATTGGCCTCCCCGTTAATTCAACACAAATTACAATCGTTTTTATTCGAAAACCCGAGTATTTATTCGAATATGCACGAACTGAAAAATTTCTCTAAATAATGTTTTACATGTCTCGTATTGTAGAGAAAAAAATATAGTATAGAAAAAGAAGACCTTGAGATTACAAAGGATTTCTTTCACTTTGAGGTTTTAAAAATAAATAATAAAAATTAAAAGGAAAAATGAAAATATAAAGTATTTTATATAGAAAATCAACTTCGATACAAAGTGGTGTGTGTTTGCATATACAATAAAAACGTTTTACTCTCTATACTTACAATATGTTTATAAAAACATGAACTTTTTTGTTATTGCAAATTTTTTTTTTTTGTAAACTTTTGATTAAATCTTTTATTTTGGAGGCTCAATTAAAATAATATTTCTAAAAAAGAATTTATTTCTAAGAATAAACGACTGCGTACATGTTATAAGTTAAAATCAATAAAATGTTGGGGGTTTTTATATCTTGTATATTCGAGTACAACAAAGGAGGGTAGTTTAAACTTAAATTATAGAATTTAAAAAATTTAATAATTTAAACCGAATACACACATATGTGTGTTCGCGTGTACATGCATAGAAATTGGGATACAAAAATGAAATGTCCTAATGTATTTATATGTACGTAGATTCCAAATTTTGATTCTTATCGTACTCGTATATATAGTTCACATAATGTCAAATGTAATGTGAGGCATATTTTCAGGCCTTAAAGCTTACCATAAGTATTAGTTCACAAATCTTAGTTTTTTTCCCAAATTTTGCTTAACTCGAGATTTTATTTTAGATTGCTACAGAGATTCTATTTTACTGAAATACATTTCTTTGTCTTTCGTCTTCACCTTAGAGATTATTTTTCAAACGTTTAATTTTAAATAATAATTATCAAGTTTTTTTAAAAAAAATTTCATTTTTTAAACAAATTGCATGATTGCCGTTTGTTCCAAAAAAAAATTTTTTAAAAAATGTGTTTTCTAATTTCACTCTGTCCGTCAGCCCGTCCGTCTATGCCATGCTTACAAAACTTTTACACCCTTGAAAATAGATAGTTGAATTTTCATATATAAATAGATTTTTACTAGAAACTTACTCCCGCAGAAAAAAATATTTACTCATCTCCCAATTTCTAAAATTTATAGCCCTACAAAACCCCAAAAATACCATTTTTTAATGACTCTACAAACATTTTTTAAATTCTACAAACACAAAAGTTTTGCGGCTCGATTCTTCTACTTTGGCATGTCATAGTTAAATTTGAAAAAAACAAAATGGACATTAAAATTAACCGTTATCTAAAATTTGTTTTTCAAATTTTGGTACCGTTTTTCTTCTCTATGGCAGAAAAATTTTAGCAGCTTTTAGCTATTATTAATTTTTTTTTTTCGTTAGAAGAAAACTTTTTTCCAACTCCAAATGGTATGCCATAAAAAATATAATTATTTTTCTTTGAATTCGAGCATTATATTAACGATTTTTTCAATTATTTTTGTTGCTTCATCCTAATTGCAATTTTGAAATATTATGGTTAAAAATAAAAGTAATTCTAACAATGTAGATTGTTTTTAAAAGCATTATTTTCAATTGTTGAAAGGAAAAGTGCTACTTTACCAACCATTGGTTAAGGTTTCGAAGGATTGAAATATGAGTAATTATTATGTGTTCAATAATATTCTCTAAAGCTGCAATAAATTTCCAATGGTTTACACATTTTATAAAATTAATATAAATGTCGCATTTACAGAAACATTGATGCAATTACAAATTATTTATAAAATGAGGTTTTTTGTTCAAAATTATTTAGCATTTTTTTAAGATATTATAGAAAAACTTCATTCGTGCACGTTTATTAGCTTAGGAAAACTACCAGGAAACAGTTTGACTAGGAAAAATTTTGACTACAGGTTTCTTCTGCAATTTCTGAGAAACCAAGATTTGATTGTATAATTTATTTTCCCTCCATGCTAAACTGATTTTAATTGAAGTAATAAAAATTACAAAAGTTCTCTGAAGTTTTTGAATTCAGTTGTTAAGTTGAACTTTAAATTGCGATTTCCTTAAAACAAGGTTTTGAAATTTTGTTTAAAAAAAAATTTATTTTACCAATACAATTTTCGATTTTACAAATGAATTTATTTTTTATAGAACTGATACCTTTGCAAGCTGGTCTTTCATTGTATTGATTATAATTTTTATATCTCGTATTGTAATTAATGTTTGTAAATAAATAAATATTGTATAATAACAAAACATTGAATTAATTAATAATAATTTAATTAACATTTATGCTTTGCTTACTTTTTTCAGGTTTCAAACAACAAAACAAAAAAATCTAATCGTCATAGTTCGCCATTTGATCTTATAGTCTAGCATAATTATATATAGAGAAAGTCATTAAGAATAATAAAACAATATGGAAGAAAACAGTGAAAATAAGAAAAATAACAAACAAAAAAAAAAATTAAATTGAATTTTGTAAATAAATTTTTAAAATTAATAAAAAAAGCATCAAAATAAATGAAAAAAATTTTAAAAAAATTTAATCATGTTTAAAAAACAAAAAAATTATAGCACAATTTTAAAATAATTGAATTACGTTTAAATTTTAATTGTAGGAAAACCAATTTTCAAAAACAAAATGGAGAAATTGAAGAAAGCAAAAGAAAATTTTTTGATTCAATCAAAATTAATTTTAAATTAAAAAAATTTTAAATAAAAAAAAATTTTTGTAAAAAAAAACAAAATTAAAAAAATTCAAAGATCTTAAAAAAAAAAATTATTAATTTTTCTGTTTCCCTTCCGTTTTTTTTTTTTTTAATTTTTAAAATTTGAAAAAAAAAAATATTTTTTTTTATGTAAATTTTTTTTTGTTTTTATTTTTTTTTTTTTGTAATTTTAAGTGTTAAATTTTTACTCATCGATTTTATAAATAATATAATGTGCATATGTGTATTGGTGTATGTACATAATATGTACGGTATATACCAACAAACACAAACAAAAAAAAAATAAATGTTCGTATGTAAAAAAAAAAAAAAATATGACTAAATAAAAAAAATTTAAAAGAACTTTTATTTTCATTGAAAAACGGATTAAAAATTAGTGAAGGCAAGTAAAAAAAAATTATAAAACAAATTATTAGAAAAAAAGAGAGACAGACACTCACACATACACAGTTAATTAAAGAGAAACGAAATTGTAAAATTTAAAATTGGAAAATTTTCGTTTACCAAAATAAAATTAAGAAAGTAAAGAGCAACAAAAAAAAATTTGTTAAAAAAAAATTAATTAAAAAAAAAAGAAAATAAAAAAAAATTAAAAGAAAAACTTGTAACCACACAGGAAGTGTTCGTTTTTATTAAATTTTCATTGTTAATTTACCAATTAAACATAATTATATACGTGTGTGTTTGTACATATACATACAAATTTATAAATAATATTGCATATGCATTAAAGCATCTATGTGCATATGTTTAAGAAAATAATATAAGTACCTAGTTATATATGTAAATGTAAAAAAAAAAAAAAAACAAAAAAAAATAAGAAAAAAAAAATGAATAAAATGCTTAAATTGTATTTGAAAATTAAAAATATAGCTAAATATTAAAAATTTAAAGAAAAAACAAAAAAAAAAAAAAACAAAATACAACAAAAAGTAATTGGACATAATTTGAGTTTCATTTCTTGCCTTTTAATTTTATAAATTTGCATAAAATACGGACTTTTCAGGATTCACAGCTTGTATTCATTTCCCCCCTTGATTAAGTAAACCTGAACATGAACGATTCAAAAAGCAATTGGTGGTTAATTACAACTGGAAAATCAATTTTAATATTCACATTCAAATTCGTGCCTATTTGAATTGAACTTGACCTAATATTGGACCTACAAACTAATTAGTAAGCAACAATCTAAAATCAGTAAAACTGGTAAAGTTTTGGAAAAAATTAAATCTTCATTGTATTGCATCAATAGGTACGAAAATATTTTTGTTTAAAAAATAAGACTTGATTTTCACTTAGAAAAACTCTTAAATTACAATAAAAATGTGGAGTGCCTATTAAAAATTATTCTTAGTTTCATTGAATATAAAAAAATGTATTAAAAGAAAATCTTGCGATAAATTTCGAAAATATGTGAAATTTGTTTGAAGAAAACAGATTAGTGCTATCGTACATAAACTTTCAATAGCCCTTGCTGTAGCGTGGTTTTCAACACTTAACAGAATAATGCATAAATTATTCAAGTAAAGTATGTAATTCAAAGTATGCTAGCTTTAATCAAATCGACATTACACTCATTACAAGAAAAGCCATTATACTTATATGATAATGTACATGTTATAGTCCCATAAGCTTGACCTTAAAACTCATTTCTCTAAGCTGAATTGGGTTTAAATACTATACTTACTTCCCATATTTGTACTACTCGTATATAAACATATTTACATGTTATGCATATATACATAGGACTTTTCAATAATTGACACATGCAATAAAAGTTCTTAATTAAATCCTAAAAGATTTTGCAGTTTGGAATTGTAGAACGTACTTCAAATTAAGACCTAAGTTAGAACTAAATTATCCTAAAATTAAACCTCGAAATTATTTTTAAAAAATCAATTTACTACCTGCAACCACTTTTTTTGTTCCAAGTTGCACTTGATAGACGATTAACATATTTTTAAATATGAGTTTTACTTAAATAGAAAATTTAAATTTAATTTGTTTCTTTCACTTATTTTTTCTACTTAATTTTGGTCTTTACGAAATTTATTTTCTACTGAATTTTTCCATTTCTCGAATGGATAGTTTAAATACACATAAAACACGAGATTTGTTCAGTTAAATATAAATTTATAAATTTAGTAAGTCATTCAAAATCAGTTCAAAATCTGGTGACTATAATGATAAGGGAATTCTTAATTTTTTTTACAATTTCTTTACACGCTGCCACATTATTAAGACCCACTTATTTTAAAATTTCTTTACCACTGACTAGAATAATTTGTAAACAGTATGGATAGTCTTGTAATACAAAACATTTCTTTTGACAGTTTATAATGAATTCTTTTCAAAATAAATAAATAATTTCACTTTTAATACTTGTTATCATGTTTACAATTTCCTCGAAACTCTTACAACTTAATGTGGAAATGTTGAACGAAAAACGAACAAAGTGACTGACATATTTCAATTTAAAAATACTGCATAAAATCGGAGACTTAAACCATATTTATTTATCTACATAGATTCCATAAAATAAAATCACGATAAATAAATATCGTTTTGACATCTAGCGATGAAAAGACAAACTTTCGCATAGTAGTCCAAGTTTTAAATTTATTAATTAACGTACTAAATATTTTATCTTCATCTGATAATAGTTTCTGTCTACAAGTCTACACACACAATTGATTATTGGATTGTGTCTTGAATAAAACTAGTCACTGAAGGGTAGAATTTTTTTTTGTAAATATTTCCCGTGAGATAGCGCTTTATATATTTATTAGACGTTCAATTTCAAAATTTTATTATTTTTTTCTGCAGAGTTTATTGGGAACAAAAAAATGTTTTCCTTACTTTTAGGAGATGGAAATTAAAAAATTCCAATGTAAATCGAGAAAATGATTTAATATTGGAAAAAATTGTAATACTCGTAATATGTATAGCCCTCTTCTAATTCAATGCAAATGATGGTCATTAAATGGTATTAGTCGTGGTAAATAAAAGAAAAATTGCCATATTTTTAAGTTTTTTTATATGGCTTCAACCAAAAGTTAGAAAAAGAATGAATTTATTTTTTTATGAGAAAATAATATGAATTTAAGTTCAGAATGCTTCACCTGAATAAAAAATTCCATGATTTATAAAACCGCATTTCAGCATTTTCAACACGAGCAACCAAAGGTTCATTATCAAATCAGTCAGTCAATATCAATATCAGTCGCGAAATTTGCAGATCAGCATTTTTTAAAATTTTGTTTTTGCGCATGTTAACTTATACACAAGAAAGAGAATTATTTGTACATTTTATAAATGTACATATATAAATAAATAGTGTTAATTGATGAAATATAAGTGTTGATTTTGTATTCATAAACTGGTGTAGCAATTCACAGTTTTAAATAGGTATTGAAATTATTACTAACTTTTTAACTTTAAAGTATATGGGACAGTCTACTTTTCTAAATTTTTTCCACGCATTGAATGCAACATTCAGTTTATTGCTGGGTATATCAAAGATGGTCAAACTTTAATTCGAGAAAAAAAATATCATGTAAATTGATCGAACGAACTCGTATAATTATAGAAAATTGATAAATACTTCAGTATTAGGATAATATTTAAATTTTACCAAAAGAAATTTGGTATTTTTAGTTAATAAATGAGATTATTGTACATGAGTCCGTCCCCTTATCGTTGAATAGTTATTCTTGTATTACAAGTGTTCGAAAGCAATGGATAAATTAATTATGTGCTCTAAATCGCGTGCTTTTTAAAAAAATTTCATATTGTACTCTGCCAAAATTATTTGAACATTTTTTAAAATTTACTATCTCTTCAAAAATTTTCTTGTAATAACCAATAATTTCAAAATGCAAAGCCGTGCATTAAATATAACACAAACCCCTGTTTTACTTTCACTGACGACTGTCAACGTCATAGAAATTATAGTTCACAATTGCTAATTTATGATATTTTTCGAATTTTAAGTTGCTGGTATTATTTTAAACAATTTTATATTTTTTTAATACATGACTGGGTGGAAAATTATGTATGCATTTAAGAAAAATTATTATAAAAGTGAAATATACACAAACAACACTGTAAGGAAAAATAAGTGAATTAAAATATAATTTCATGCCTTGTTGAATAAATACAATTTTGGATTTTTAAAAACAGATTTGCTTTTTCTCATCTTTCATTCCTTTTTTTTTTTGTATATTTAAAATTCTTTCAATTTTAACAAAATGAAAATTTTATATTTTCTTTTTTTCTTTACTTTTGTTTCTCTTTTATCAAAAATAGAAATGAGGAAGAAAACAAGATCTTGAGCGTAATATTGTTTTGTTTCACAGTTATAAAATGTCTCAACAAATTGAATTTGTATATACCATGGTGGAAAGTTTTCTCGTGGAAATAGCAAAAAAAAAACAAACAAAAATTCAAGACAATAAGAATATCCTTTAAATCCTTAGTAATTACAATATTCAACAAAAATTGAAAATGGAAAGAATTTTTGAGAATAACAAAACTTTTGAAAGATGCAAAGAAATAAGGAAGTGAATGAAAAAGCTAAGAAAGGACTACAATTGTGATCAGATTTTAAAAGAAAGAGTAAATATTAGATTTTTATAGTCTGCACTTTTTTATCTTGTATTTATTAAATATACATAGGTACATACATATGTAAAAGTATATCTGCTTAGATATGAGAGGTTTAGTTTATAATGTGAATATAGAATTTCGGAATTTTTAAAATTAAAATTAAATTTGTATCATAACCAAAGCAGATTCTAGATAGCACAAGATTTAGTGCAAAATTTAAGAGTTAGCGGTTGTATTTTGTTTTATATTAAAATAGTGACAGCATATTGCTGACATTCTAAATCAAATTATTTGGAAACAGGAAAAGCTTGATAATTAATTTTAGTTTAAGTCGTGCTTTTAATTACTTTGCACTTTCGTAATTTTTTAACACTTTAACTGAAGTAGTTATAGCCTTACTTTGTGCACTTAAAATTTGAAATATACAAGGTTCACATTTCGAGCATCATAATATTTGAACAT